GGTTTACACGAAAACCTGCACTATAAATACAGTTAAGAGTGATACAGTTTTCGTGTAGAAACACAAACACAAATTAAGAGAGAATCAAAACATGTCAGTAGCTGCGATCATCATATTGGCGTTTGCTGCATTATTTTGGGTTTTGGTAAGCGTTTGTAGCGGCGGGAACAATAATGTTACAAACAAGGTTGATACGAGACGGAGCGGTGGTATAGGAATTGGATGGATCTGCGTCATCGTCTTAGCCCTTATGGTTGCTATTATCACGTCCTCAAACAACAACGCTGATCAACATCATCATATCAATCAACAAGCTCAAGAAAGTGATGGACTTTTGTGGATTCTATTACTCATCTTCTTCTTTCTCTTCCTGCTTTATCTCAAAGGCGCGTTTTGATTGATTTCTCGTTATATCTCTTTCTCTTAATGTAATTTGCTTCACATGTTTTTATCGAATTTACTTGATGCTAATCAAATTACTATTTCCTTTTCATAGACACAGTATGCATTGTTTTAATATCGGAAAAAGTTTCATATATGTTTAATTACTTAATACTATAGAAACAATTGCTCTCTTTTTAGTTATTTTTTTAGCAATATAATTCCAAGTTCTAATCTCGATGGTTTTAAAGAGAGAATAACGGATTTATATATGATTACAGAAATTTAACTTGAAACAGAGGAAAAAAAAATGTATTGTACGGAACTTTTTATAGGGTTTTTTTCAGTCGTCGTCGACGTAGATAGTCTCCTGCTTAAACAGTCCTCCGAACACTTTCCTCACCTCTTTCTCTGGCTTCTTCAGACGTTCTTCCTTCTGTTTGGACGCAAACGCTGATGTAGTGGGTTTAGCGCTCACGTTTCTCTGTTTCACCACTGCTTTCTTGGGTGGCAAGTTTCTCGCCTTCGCTTGTCCTCTGACCGTAGCGACTTGCACTTTAGGTGTTTCTGAAGCGTTTTGAACCGCGGTAGCGAACTGAGAACCGAGTTTATTCCAGGACAGTCCGGATCCGATATCTTTTGCCTTGTTTAATAAGCCGTTCACCGTGACTCCCACGGCATCTGCTTTCTCTTGCGCTTCCTCGGCTAAGCTAGCAGCTTCTGCTTCTTTCTCAGAGAGCTTCTGCATTTGTTTCTCAAGCTCCTTCGCCGCTTCCGCTGCTTCTCGAGCTCTCTCAGCAGCCAGTTTCGCCTCTTCCTCTGCTCTTTCCCTTGCGATTGCATCTGCGTACACTTTCCTCCTCCCATCTTCTGGGATTACACTATATATCACCATCGATAATGTTTCATCAGAAGAAGTTCACACAAACATTAATTTAAGCTAAGCTCCCTCTATAGAGAACGTGTGTAAACCCTAATCTAAATTTAGTACCACTCAGGGATTTTTAGTAAATAACAATGACTCTTGAATCAGCAAGCGGAACCTATGTAGACGCTTTATTCTACCTGAAAAGCTCATCCAATGGCTTCAACGGTGCGGATGGATCCGTAGAAACTTCCACCACCTGCGAAAGAGCACACAAAACTGATCTCATCAACGACTATAATTTTTGCGTTTGTATGAACAATCACAATCTTGACTAGTAAGTTACTTGTGATATACACAAAGTTAATTCAACGCGGCTACAACTTTTGCCCTTGTGTCTTGATGACTAAGTTACTTGTGGTCTACATTACCTTATTTTCTGCCACTGTCGTGTTGGCGAAAATGTCAGCAACCAGCGATGCGATCTTCAACTTTGGGACCTGGTAGCAATCAGAACACCAAACAAGTTAATAACCTGATTAATCAAAAGCATTCTATAGAAAATGATTTCGTTTCAATGTAATGTATGATAAATCCCTTTTAATCGCATACATTACATTACTTTGTAGGCCTCGGACGAACTACTGCCACTTCCGTTTTTACTCCCTTCAGCTGAAACAACGACGTTATAAGATTTCTCCGGCGACGAATCCTCCGTCAAGCTCGTCTTTATGAGCGTGTACGCCACGTCCGTTTGAGCCACTTTCTCGATGAGGTCAGAGATAGTCAACGGCTGAGATTGAGAGAAAAGGTTGCTGAAGAAGGAAGTAATTCCGTCGATAACATTGTACGTGGATCCGCTGTTGCTCTCGTCGTAGACGATCGCGACGTGGCTTACGCCGGCGAGCTCAGCCGCTTGAACCACGAGAAGCGCGTCTGAGGTCGAGACTTGAGCGTCAGGACCGTTCTCTGTCGCCCCGACCGTAACTACAACCTTGGTCGCGTTTCCAATGGCTTTGGCGATTGATTCGGCGTCTTGGAATGGGGATTGCACCGCGTTTAGCCTCTTGACCTCCTCCTTAGATAGAATCTGTCCAAAAGCTGATCTAATCAAATTTTCAAACCAAACTGCGTTTGCGTAACGCAAAATCACTAAATCTGAAATGCGATTGCCACTAGAAATCGAGATTATCATTTGTCGCGTTTGGAAATGGGACAGATTATAATGAATCGAGGGAGCTAAAAGCGACCTTGTAAGTAGCCGCGACACGAGCGAGGTCCTGAGCGGCTCCTAGGTCGGGAACGCCGGCTCTGACGCTGAATCCTCGTTGCAAGAGCGTTTGAGCTATGCGTATACCGGCTTGTCCCGTAGCACCGGCAACAAAAACCGTACCGGGATCCTTTCTTCTGTTATTACCAAACGCTAAACCGGTCGAAGGGTTCGTCACTACCGGCACCAGTGACGTCATGTCCGGTAACTTACCGAAATCGAATCGGAATGGGTTCGAAGCTGGCGATTTCCCGGTTTGCTTTCCCTCCGAATCATCTCCCTTGGTTTGTTTGGCGGCCAAAACAGTTAACCTCCGTTTTCTCCGGTTAAGCCGGGACCCTTGCGGTGGCCCGGTGGTTAATGGGAAAGAAGTGGAAATGGAAGCCATTAGAGATGAGCTTAGGGCTTATGCTTGCACTTCAAGTAAACAATGTGGATGCCATACGTTGAAGATGAGACACCATTGCAAATGCGAAAGACTTTCGTTGTTTTTTCACAGATTGCTTGATTATCCAGAACGGAGAGATAGCCAATGAGATCACACCATGTCATCAACATATCTTTGATGGGGGCTTTCTTTGAACTTTTCGCCACAGAATATCGATAGTGTGGGGCCCATTTATTTTATAGACTTTTCAATCTTGCCGCGATATTTTCAGGTAATTCTAATTAGGAAAAATCATTATTGTAACTTGATTTGTCACCGAATCCAATCCACGAAAGCACTGAAGAAAATAAATAAAATAACGAAAGGTTTAGGCGTCCGGCTTAAACCTAGAAGTCTAGAACATATCCAAATAATGTGTAAAGGCAATGAGCCCAATTGCGGGCTCGAATCATAAAAAAATGCGCAGAGTAAATGGGAGCTGAGTCTAGGAGATGAGAACTACAAATCGTTAAAAAATCGGATTTATGTGATTTTTGATTAATCTGAAATAGCCCAATTATTTAATATAACCTACAAAAAATTAACTATGGCGAAATCAGCACATGCCATAGATGAGAAACAATTTGTATTTTATCTTAATTACATAAAAAGCAAGTTTGGATAGATATTGTGATATCGCGGCAACAATAGTACAAACTAATAGACTAAAATAAAGATGCAAAATGCATAGAGAGAAATAATGCAAATATGATAGACTTCATTCTTATTTGCTGTAAAAAGATAAAATAAAAATAAAAGAAGTTGTCACACGCTTCTTTTTTGTTCTATTTGAGTTTGGGGCGATCTTTTGGGCATGGTCCACATTTGCCACCACACTTCGGAATACGAAACCCACAATCATCGAGAAGATTTTGAGAAGCATGCTTTATCGTAGAGTTAGTATAAAAGTAACACAGACATGAATCTGCTGCAATTCTCTTATTTTTACAACATACTCTCTTATACCAAGCCCATTATTTCGTCCTCCTGCTTTGGCATGTTAGAAGATCGTCTACATTACAATTACCTGGAGGGACAACTTTGATCGGAGCAAGAAATGATGTCAAGAATATGACAATGAGAATGGAGGATATCAACGTAATAAGTTTTATGTTTGATTAGTTAGTAGCTAGTGAAAAAAAAAATTTATTGAAAGTTAGAAACAATTATTTCTTGATAAAGTCTTGCA